TATATATATATATATATATATATTTTATTTTAAGTTTTATGCTATCAATAAGAACTGTATGGGATATCATCTCGACCAACTATATTTGATGTACAATATGACACTTTATAGAATCTGACTGTCCATAAAGCTATGGAATTTTACATCAGTGTAGTTAAAACCAACACATTCTCATTTCGTCTACTTAATGTCATACACAGTTCACTGAAAATGACTGATTTGATATACCTGGCAAATTGGTGTTACTACCAGTCTACCAATAAACAAAGGGAAAGAAAATGCAATGAATAAGTGATTTTTTTTTATATATATAAAAAGATAAATCGTGTCAAAGTTATATTCATTGTACTTGCATACATATTTATGCGTGTATGTGTATTTGTATTTATAATATATATTTAAAATTAAAGCGCTATCTACAAAGATTTCTGGGTGTCATAAGGGCAGTCAGAACCCTGGACTGTCTTCGCGAAACGAGAGACGTCGACGCCGATCTCCTTAAAGGCGGCCTCGCAGCGTCTCAGGTATTGGTCAGAAAGGCTTGGCGAGCGGGAGAAGATGAAGGAGAAGTCGGAGTAGTATCCGAAGTTGTATTCGGTGCAGGAGTAGATGCACGAGAAGTTCTCGTAATCCGTGTGTCGAGGATGACATAGGGAGCGATCCAAGCTAGAAAAGGAAGGAAGATATAGTTAGTATCAAGACAAAGAATTGATAATGACATTCCGATATTTGTTCAATAATGCACAAAAAAAATCCTTTTTCAATACTCACATCCTTCGTAGTCGACGGAGAGGTGAGGGTCTCCAAGAGGCATGGGGAGAATCTGGCCGTTGCGCTTCATGAGGTTACCGTCAGCGTTGATGCCAGTTGACTTGGCGATGAATTTGTTTCCATCTGTAAGTTAGTAACATATAATTATTATTATTAGATAAGTTAATATGAGTAAATAACAGATTACATATCGTCAAGTAGCCACTCAATTAACATTAGAAGTGCCTTAATGAAAATCCATCTTACCAAGGAATATTCGTTGCGGACGCATGCTTGAGGAGTTGGTATGGGTTGTTTGTGAGGGCAATTTCGTACCAAACACCAGCATACTGAAATAATAATAACAATAGTAACAAACAATCACTATATTTCTAAGAACTAAATGTATTTGTAGATATCGCATTGCTAAATTACTTATAATATCCATCGTATAATTGCATAATTAATAAATTCTTCGTAATTGTAACATACCTTAGGATGATTAGGAATCTGTTCGTCGAAGAGTGATTTCTCGTCCACAACAGGACATCTTCCTGGAACGACGAAGTCGGGGATCTTGTCAGCAGCGACGGCTGCTACAGCAGCAAGGAAGAACAGAGATGTATTCATGGTGATCACAATCAGTGGATGCAACTTGTGCCACAACAAGAGAGGCTGCTGCCTTATATAATCCGACCCTGGTTGCAGCTCCGGCGATGAGGTTTCAAGGTGTTTCCAGATTGTTTGCTTGCAGTGTGAACTGACGCAAAAACAAAATGTTAACTCATTTAATTTATCAGTAATACCTTCTTGTGGAAGCAGTGTGCAATCACAGGGAAAGAAATGTAAATTGTGCAATAGGAAAATCAAGCAATATAATTAGAAACTGACAACAGAGGTGAACGACCATAGCTCCGCCCATCGTAAACAGGATATAAGAGCGCCAAGTACTCTTGCAAGCAGCACAACTGAGAAAGCATCATGTTTACCACACTCGTCGCTGCTGCCCTCGTGGCCCTTGTCTCTGCTGACGGCATTCCAGACTTCGTTGTTCCTGGAAGATGCGCTAAAGTGGCCAACCAAGACAAGTTCGATCTTCGCAGGGTAAATACATGTAGTCTTCTGTATATTATAATTTATTATGTGGGTCTTAATATTATCATAATCTGAATGAATTGTGCACATGTTCCAACCTTGTTTCTTTTTCCCAAACAGTACTCCGGCCGCTGGTATCAGACCCAGATCATCGACAACGCCTATCAGCCATACACTCGCTGCATCCACTCCAACTACGACTACTCTGACTCTGACTACGGCTTTAAGGTGACCACAGCTGGATTCAGCCCCAACAACGAGTACCTCAGACTGCAGGGCAAGATCTACCCAACAAAGGACTTCCCAGCTGCCCACATGCTCATCGATTTCCCTACCGGTACGTAATTTATCCTTGCGGGTATGTTAATGTTTTATGGAATCCAATGCTATATTACTAATATGTGTAGCTAACTCCACCTAACGATTTTTCTTTCATCGACAGTTTTCGCCGCTCCCTATGAAGTGATCGAGACTGACTACGAGACGTACTCGTGCGTGTATTCCTGCATCGACTGGAACGGCTACAAGTCCGAGTTCGGCTTCGTCTTCTCCCGCACCCCACAGACTTCCGGTCCAGCGAACGACAAGTGCGCCTCCGTCTTCCGCAAGAACGGAGTCGACTTCGCCTTATTCAATGACGTTGCTCATACGGCCG